ACTAGACAAACAACATTAGTAGTAAATTGTTTGTAAATCATCATCAAAACAAGAAGGCCAACACTTTCCTATCTAGAAGTATGTCCTTTGACTCCCAATACCTTGATTTTTAAGTCCTAATTTTGACCAATCTCATTTCAGGTGATCACTATGGCCCCAAAAAGTCATCCATCTACTCCAGTTGGCTCTGAGGGGTAGCAAGTTGATCAGGTTGATCTTGAAAAAGCGCTTAGGGAGTTAGTAGCTCATAATCGCCAGAAAGATGGGCAACAGCAAGTTGCAAGGCCGGAAAATGTGTCTGATTTTTGGAAGCTCAACCCATAACACTTCACTGGGATTGAAGGCAGATATGAGGCCGAGAGGTAGTTGTAGACCATGGACCTCCTGTTGAGGGCATTAAAAATACATGACGAAGACAGAGTAGATATTGTACAGTTGCAACTTGTAAATATATCTAGGACCTGGTGGGATGCGGAGGAGGAGAAGCTACCTAAGCCAATTTCATGGGATACATTTCTGGGAGAGCTTCCTAAAGACATTTCTCCCTAAGACAGCTCACATTGAGATGCAAAGGCAGTTTGTTATGCTAAGACAAAGAGCTAGTATTGTAGATGAGTATGCAGCAAAATTTGCTAAGCTCAGCAGGTTTGCCCCGGGCACATGGTGTCTAATGAGGTGGATAAGGGAAAAAGATTCATGCAGGATCTAAATTTTGAGATCCAGACACAAATTTACAGTCAGAAGGGTTGAGACTTATGCTGATGTCCTAGAGGCCGCTCGAAAAGCAGAACAGTTGATTGGGATCGTGAACTTGGTGAAGAGATGGGCCAATAAGTGCCCTGCAGGACAGACATCAAGAGGTAACTAGCAGAAGCCACAGAAGCCTTAGACAGGAGGAGCACCAGCCAAGCACCAGCAAACAGGGACTTCGAGACCAGCTCCACAGCCAACCAACATGATATGCCATTTTTGCAGCAAGCCCGGGCACTTGATGAAGGATTGCAGGAGAGGTAACGGGTTCTGCCTAGCATGCAGGGCGGCAGATCATCAGCTTATCACTTGTCCTAGTAGAGGAGTTTCAGAAGGAGCTTCAGGTGGAGTTATAGTACTAGGAGGCCAGGTTAGACAGGGTGGACAATAATGGAGCCATCACTTCCTACTTAGCAGTAGATGTTTTATGGACATTAGAGGGGGCAACAAGTTTGAGGACAAAGATAGTGGAGAGGTCCCCAGTTCTAGCACCCATACCAGCCGTAATATCAACAAAGACGTCCAGGGAAATACGATCAGCAGAATCAACAACAGCAAAGACAGGGTCAGATTCTGACACTCACCGCTGAGCAAGCAGACACATCCGGTGATGTAGTCACATGTAACATTTTGGTTTATTCAATCCCTACATTTACCCTATTTGATTTTGGGGCATCGTACTATTTTATATTCGCTCAATTCATTGCATGACACATCATACCATGCGATAGTTTAGATGCATGCTAGAATATCCATACATGTAGTTGGGTGTTAATGTCTAGTAGGGAGTGTAAGAGATGCCCAGTGGTAGTCTGTGGTAGGGAGCTATTGGCAGACTTGTTGGTGATTGGCACTAACAAGTTTGATGTTATTTTGGGGATGGATTGGCTCAACAACTTCCATGTGATTATCAACTGTCAATATAGAAGCGTGGTGTTCAAGATACCAGATCATCCAGAGTTTGAGTTTATGAGCAGCAGCAAAGTGATGGAGCAGCTAGAGTATCGAGCAAGCATGGATGTAGTATTAACCTGGATAGAGGTAGAGGAGAAGCCCATACCAGAAATTAGTGATGAGTTCCTTGATGTTTTCTCTGATGAGTTGCCAGGTCTGCCACCAGATAGAGATATAGAGTTTGTCATCGATCTAATTTTAGGAGTTACACCTATCTCAAAACCACCTTACCAGATGCCGATAAAAGATTTAGAGGAGTTACGAAAGTAGATCCAGGAGTATCTCGATAAGAAATTTATCAGGCTTAGTACTTCACCTTGGGGAGCACCAGTGGTGTTAGTGCCAAAGTCAGACGGTAGTCGAAGGATGTGTATTGACTACAAGGAGTTGAATCGGGTTACCATCAAAAATGAGTACCCAAATCCTAGGATTGATGATCTTTTCAATCACCTCATAGAAGCTAGGGTGTTTTCTAAGTTAGACCTCAGGTCAGGTTATCATCAACTGAAGGTGAGGAAGGAAGACATACACAAGACTGCATTATGCACACGGTATGAGCATTATGAATTCTTAGTGATGCCATTCGGAGTGACAAATGCTCCATCTACATTTATGAGCTTGATGAACAAGGTGTTTTCCCAGTATCTCGACCAGTTTGTGGTGATGTTCATGGATGACATTCTTGTATACTCCAAGACTAAGGAAGATCATGTAGAGTATCTATGGACGATGTTGGAAGTCCTACGGAAGGAGAAGCTCTATGGAAAATTAAACAACTGAGAGTTCTAGCTGGAGCAAGCATCCTTTATGGGGCCTGTAATTTCAGGAGCAGGTATCTTTATGGACCCGAAGAAGATTGATGTGGTGTAGAGATTGGATCCGCTTACATCAGTGATAGAAGTATGGAGATTCTTGGGGATGGCTGGATACTATAGGAAATTCATAAAGAATTTCATTAATATTGCAGGACCAATTACTAAGTTGACTCGAAAGAAGGTCAGGTTTGTGTGGACTCGGGACTATCAAGCAGCAGTTGAGGGGTTGAAGAAGAAGTTGATGATAACCCGTTTTGATAATTTCAGATGAGTCAGTAAGATTTGTAGTGCACACAGATGCTTTCGGTTTGGGTTTAAGTTGTGTTCTAATGCAACATGGGAAGGTAGTAGCTTATGCATCTAGATAACTAAAAACGCATAAGAGGAACTAACCAGTTCATGATCTGGAGTTGGCGACGGTCATTTTTGCATTGAAGCTGTGGTGGCGCTATCTTTTAGGGTAAAGAGTGGAGGTGTACACAAACCATAAAAAGCTTGAAATATATCTTCACTCAGAAGGAACTCAACATGAGGCAGCGCAGGTGGCTAGAGCTTATGGCGGATTACGATCTTGATTTGCAATATCACCCGAGACGGGTTAATGTGGTGTTAAATCATTTAAGCAGAAAACCTATAGCGATGAGACTTACCAGGCAACGGGAGTCGTTAGCAGAAAACCTATTTCATTTACAGTCAACTTTGGTAGACCAGATCAAGGCTACTCAGTTCAAGGATGCTAGGTACCAAAAATTTAAGAAACAAGTAGAGTCTGAGAAGATAACTAATCTACATATACATGAGGATGGATCATTGCAATTCTGTGATAGGTTGTGTGTGCCTAAGGGTGATGTTAGGAGAGAGTTGCTGGAGGAGGTGCACAGTTCAGTGCTTTCTATTCATCCAGGGGGCACAAATATGAATCGAGACCTGAGGGAGCATTACTAGTGGCCAAGAATAAAGATGGAGATAGTCCAGTTTGTGTCAAAATGGCTAGTATGTCAATAGGTGAAGGTTGAGCATCAAAAGACTGTTGAGTTATTGTAGGCTCTTCCTATTCCCGAGTGGAAGTGAGAGCATGTTACAATGAATTTTATCACAACCCTGCCGAGGAGCCAGAAAGGAAACAACACCATATGGGTAGTAGTAGACCGACTCACTAAGTCAACTAGCTTCATACCATTTCGAGTTAGACATATGATGAAGAGTCTAGCAGAGCTGTACATGAGGGAGATAGTACGCTTGTATGGGGTATCGGTTAGCATTGTGCCCGATAGAGATACGTGGTTTTTGTCACACTTTTGGAGGAGTTTTCAGTAGAGTCTTAAGGCTAGACCGAATTATAGTTCAGCTTACCACCCACAAACAAATGGACAGTCAGAAATGACTATACAAATTTTGGAGGACATGTCGCGAGTATGCATGCTGGATTTCAAGGGCTCTTAGGAAGACCACTTACACTTGGTGGAGTTTTCTTATAATAACAGTTATCAAGTCAGCATCCAGATGGCACCTTATGAGGCTTTATATGGAAGAAAATATAGATCTCCTATCTATTGGGATGACTTTGGAGAGTGGTATTTGCTAGGTCCTAAGATGATAGTGCAGACCGTAGAGAAGATAAAGATGATACAAGATTGCCTTAAGATGGAGCAGCTAGAGTATCGAGCAAGCATGGATGTAGTATTAACCTGGATAGAGGTAGAGGAGAAGCCCATACCAGAAATTAGTGATGAGTTCCTTGATGTTTTCTCTGATGAGTTGCCAGGTCTGCCACCAGATAGAGATATAGAGTTTGTCATCGATCTAATTTTAGGAGTTACACCTATCTCAAAACCACCTTACCAGATGCCGATAAAAGATTTAGAGGAGTTACGAAAGTAGATCCAGGAGTATCTCGATAAGAAATTTATCAGGCTTAGTACTTCACCTTGGGGAGCACCAGTGGTGTTAGTGCCAAAGTCAGACGGTAGTCGAAGGATGTGTATTGACTACAAGGAGTTGAATCGGGTTACCATCAAAAATGAGTACCCAAATCCTAGGATTGATGATCTTTTCAATCACCTCATAGAAGCTAGGGTGTTTTCTAAGTTAGACCTCAGGTCAGGTTATCATCAACTGAAGGTGAGGAAGGAAGACATACACAAGACTGCATTATGCACACGGTATGAGCATTATGAATTCTTAGTGATGCCATTCGGAGTGACAAATGCTCCATCTACATTTATGAGCTTGATGAACAAGGTGTTTTCCCAGTATCTCGACCAGTTTGTGGTGATGTTCATGGATGACATTCTTGTATACTCCAAGACTAAGGAAGATCATGTAGAGTATCTATGGACGATGTTGGAAGTCCTACGGAAGGAGAAGCTCTATGGAAAATTAAACAACTGAGAGTTCTAGCTGGAGCAAGCATCCTTTATGGGGCCTGTAATTTCAGGAGCAGGTATCTTTATGGACCCGAAGAAGATTGATGTGGTGTAGAGATTGGATCCGCTTACATCAGTGATAGAAGTATGGAGATTCTTGGGGATGGCTGGATACTATAGGAAATTCATAAAGAATTTCATTAATATTGCAGGACCAATTACTAAGTTGACTCGAAAGAAGGTCAGGTTTGTGTGGACTCGGGACTATCAAGCAGCAGTTGAGGGGTTGAAGAAGAAGTTGATGATAACCCGTTTTGATAATTTCAGATGAGTCAGTAAGATTTGTAGTGCACACAGATGCTTTCGGTTTGGGTTTAAGTTGTGTTCTAATGCAACATGGGAAGGTAGTAGCTTATGCATCTAGATAACTAAAAACGCATAAGAGGAACTAACCAGTTCATGATCTGGAGTTGGCGACGGTCATTTTTGCATTGAAGCTGTGGTGGCGCTATCTTTTAGGGTAAAGAGTGGAGGTGTACACAAACCATAAAAAGCTTGAAATATATCTTCACTCAGAAGGAACTCAACATGAGGCAGCGCAGGTGGCTAGAGCTTATGGCGGATTACGATCTTGATTTGCAATATCACCCGAGACGGGTTAATGTGGTGTTAAATCATTTAAGCAGAAAACCTATAGCGATGAGACTTACCAGGCAACGGGAGTCGTTAGCAGAAAACCTATTTCATTTACAGTCAACTTTGGTAGACCAGATCAAGGCTACTCAGTTCAAGGATGCTAGGTACCAAAAATTTAAGAAACAAGTAGAGTCTGAGAAGATAACTAATCTACATATACATGAGGATGGATCATTGCAATTCTGTGATAGGTTGTGTGTGCCTAAGGGTGATGTTAGGAGAGAGTTGCTGGAGGAGGTGCACAGTTCAGTGCTTTCTATTCATCCAGGGGGCACAAATATGAATCGAGACCTGAGGGAGCATTACTAGTGGCCAAGAATAAAGATGGAGATAGTCCAGTTTGTGTCAAAATGGCTAGTATGTCAATAGGTGAAGGTTGAGCATCAAAAGACTGTTGAGTTATTGTAGGCTCTTCCTATTCCCGAGTGGAAGTGAGAGCATGTTACAATGAATTTTATCACAACCCTGCCGAGGAGCCAGAAAGGAAACAACACCATATGGGTAGTAGTAGACCGACTCACTAAGTCAACTAGCTTCATACCATTTCGAGTTAGACATATGATGAAGAGTCTAGCAGAGCTGTACATGAGGGAGATAGTACGCTTGTATGGGGTATCGGTTAGCATTGTGCCCGATAGAGATACGTGGTTTTTGTCACACTTTTGGAGGAGTTTTCAGTAGAGTCTTAAGGCTAGACCGAATTATAGTTCAGCTTACCACCCACAAACAAATGGACAGTCAGAAATGACTATACAAATTTTGGAGGACATGTCGCGAGTATGCATGCTGGATTTCAAGGGCTCTTAGGAAGACCACTTACACTTGGTGGAGTTTTCTTATAATAACAGTTATCAAGTCAGCATCCAGATGGCACCTTATGAGGCTTTATATGGAAGAAAATATAGATCTCCTATCTATTGGGATGACTTTGGAGAGTGGTATTTGCTAGGTCCTAAGATGATAGTGCAGACCGTAGAGAAGATAAAGATGATACAAGATTGCCTTAAGTCGGCTCAAGATAGGCAGAAAAGTTACACTGATGCTAAGAGGAGACCTCTATAGTTTCATGTTGGAGAGCATGTCTTCTTAAGGATATCCCTAACCAGAGGAGTTATCAGATTTGGTAGTCACGGGAAGCTTAGCTCATGTTTTATCTGTCCATTCGAGATATTAGAGAGAGTAGGAAAGGTAGCATACATGCTAGCTTTGCCCTTGTCGCCGGAGGGATTGCATGATGTGTTCCATGTATCACAGCTTTGATGATATGTGCCAGATGAGAGCCACATCTTAGACATTGCAGAGCTTCAAATTAAGACGAATCTATCGTATGAGGAGCAACCAATGGAGATTTTAGATAGATAGGATAAGATCCTCAAGAACAAAACTATTCCGC